ATTCTCCTCAAATCCTGCTGGGCTCTCACTGCTGCCCACTGCATGTAGGTTTTATCTTTGTGTGACTTTTCTCAGTTAGTTTACTTTTCTGCTGTAAGTAAGTGTGTGTATTTTTATTTTTTGTTACAGAAAAAGAAATTCTGAATTACAAGTGGTGTTGGGAGGAGTGAACATAGACAAGGACGAGGAAATGGACCAGACCATCCCAGTGATAGAAGCGATTGTTCATAAGAGCTTCAGGGATGGACAGGTGTTATACAACGACATTGGTTTGTCACGTTTATCAGTACTGGCATTTAAACTTAGACCATAGATTAGTATTAACTCATGTAGTACAACATATGCACGTACACATGTGGACAAAATTGTTGGTACCCCCCTTGGTTAATGAAAGAAAAACCCACAACGGTCACAGAAATAACTTGAATCTGACAAAAGTAATAATAAATAAAAATTCTATGAAAATTAAGCAATGAAAATCAGACATTGCTTTTGGACCTTAATATTTTGTTGCACAAGCTTTTGAGGCGATCACTGCAATCAAACCATTTCTGTAACTGTCAGTGAGACTTGTGCTCCTCTCAGCAGGTGTTCTGGTCCACTCCTCAGGAGCAGACGGCTTCAGTTGTCTCAGGTTTGAAGTCGGCATGTTTCAGCTCCTTCCACAGATGTTCAATAGGATTTAGATCAGGGCTCATAGAAGGCCACTTCAGAATAGTCCAATGTTTGCCTCTGAGCCATTCTTGGCTGTTTCTAGCTGTGTGTGTTTTGGGTCATTATCCTGTTGCAATACCCATGACCTGCGACTGAGACCAAGCTTTCTGACACTGGGCAGCACATTTCTCTCTAGAGTACCTTGATAGTCTTGACATTTCATTGTACCCTGCCCAGATTCAAGACACCAGATGCAGCAAAGCAGCCCCAGAACATAACAGAGCCTCCTCCATGTTCCACAGTAGGGACAGTGTTCTTTTCTTGATATGCTTCATTTTTGCGTCAGTGAACATAGAGCTGATGTGCCTTGCCAACAAATTCCAGTTTTGTCTCGTTTGTCCAGAGGACATTCTCCCAGAAGCTTTGTGGCTTGTCAACATGCAGTTTGGCAAATTCCAGTCTGGCTTTTTTATGATTAGTTTTCATCAATGGTGTCCTCCTTGGTCGTCTCCCATGAAGTCCACTTTGGCTCAAACAATGAAGGATGGTGCGATCTGACACTGATGTACCTTCACCTTGGAGTTCACCTTTAATGTCTTTACAGGTTGTTCTGGGCTCTTTTGTTGCGATTCTTATTATCCGTCTCTTCGATTTGTCATCAGTGTTCCTCCTGCGGCCACGTCCAGGGAGGTCGGCTACAGTCCAATGGATCTTACATTTCTGAATAAGATGTGCAGCTGTAGTCACAGAAACATCAAGCTGCTTGGAGATGGTCTTATAGCCATTTTCTTTCTAATCTCCTGAGACAACTCTCTCCTTCACTTCCTCTGGTCCATGTTCAGTGTGGTACATACCATGTCACCAAACAGCACAGTGACTACTTGTAACCCTATAAATAGGCCGACTGAGTGATTATAAGTTTGTAGACACCTGTGATGCTAAGTAGAGGACACACCTTCATTGAACACGTCCCTATGGTCACATTATTTTCAGTCTTTTCTAGGGGTACCATCATTTTTGTCCAGGCCTATTTCATGAGTTTATTTTTTTTAAATAATTCTGTTAAACAACGTTCCAAAAGCAATGTCTGATTTTCA